GAAAAATCTTGTGATTTAATATATAAATGTGAATCTCAATTTCAATTTTCATGTATTAATCAAGTAAAACAAAAAATTTCATCATCAGTTATATATAGTAAATCAAATTTAACAAATTTGATTGAAGAAACTCTTACTTCATTTAATTTTACTACTGACTTGTGATTACAATTCCATATACCCTATATTGGAGTAACAATATATTAGCTTTCAAATGATTTCATTCTTTATTAAGCACTTTTAACAATTCAGCAATTTCTATACTCTTATACTGATGATACAATTGAAGATTTTCTTTGTGATTTGTTTATAAAATAGAATTGTAAAAGCAAAACAACTTAATAGTTTTTTATGTAATCATGACAAATATTATAGTGATTTGATGAGTCATTTTGTAAAGCAACATCCAGAATTAAAAGAGCTTCAACCAATTAGTAGCAATACTGCTACTAGATAAAATTTTACATATCTACTTTTTAAATGACTTTTATTTTTTTAACATCCTGCTTACCAATTGGCTCAACAACTACAAAAAGATGTAAGTCAACAAATAAGAAATGATGGTGATTCATTATATGATCTTTTTTTAGAAGATTATAAGTGGCAATGCTTAGAAGAATTGATTATACTTCTTCAACCATTTGCATAAGCAATTATATTGATGGAAAGTAGTCATTATCCTACTTTGGGTATGATGTATCTAACAATTCAAAAGCTTTTTCACCATCTTAATACTGTCTATAATAAGCTTGCTATATTCAAAATTTAAAAAGTTTATAAAGCGATTAATCAGTTAATGTCAAAGCATTGAGATGAGCCAAAAAAAGCAGGATTAATTGCATCTTACCTAGGTTCTTGATTTAAAAATTTATGTTTTTTAAACTTTAAAGAAAAAATAGAGACAATTAACTTACTTCATACACAAATTATTGAATTATCTAATTCTTACACTTGCACTACTACTAGTTCTTATATTAAAAACATACAAGAACATATGATAAGTAAGTTTTTTGATGATAGTGATACTGCTATACAGTCATCTCTTGATACCAAATTACAGTTGTATGATAGTTTGCCTTTGGTTTTCAAGTATGACTTAGACTACCTGGAATATGAAAAAGGATGTCCACATTTAACCTTTCCTTCCTTTGTATTAATCAATACATTATATTTTCTCTTTTTTTCAAGTCTAAAGGTATTAAAATATCAGTTTGTCTAGAAAGGTAATCTTTTTCTACTAGGTTTATTTAAAAATTGGTTATTTTTAGTTATATTAGCTGATGCTAAAGCTGATAACTCTTTTTCAGTTTCAGAACTTTCATCCAAAGTATCAAATTTTTACTACTTTCTAAATCTTCATC